CCAGCTTCGATGCGGTGGTGGCTGCCGCAAAAGAAACGATCAAGAAAGGATGAAGGGGATTTGGAGCCGTGGGCCCGGCTTGGAATGTATCATAGCTTTCTTTTGTGTTCGGGATGGAGTCCTGGACTACGCCGACGCGGCGCACCGAATTTCCTTTCGAGAAGAAAACAAAGATGTGAGTGCGTGGTTTCGTTTTCTTGAAACACATGTGAAGCATGAGTTGTTTGAGCTTGCTTTGCCGCTTGGATTGCTTGAGCTTGAGCTTGCTTGTGCCCGAAACCCCTTTGAAACGCACCAAATCCCGAACCTTAACTTCAACCCCAACCGAACCACCGCCAGCCTATACAGGAATGGTCTTGGGCCAGGACTGGATGTCATGGCCATCGTGGCCGTCTTGGGATTCTGCAGCCTCTTGGGTGGTCTAGTGTTTTGGGGGTTCCACATTTTGTTTGTCGAGTTTAAAAGGTGTTCCGTTGGAGAAAAGGATCGGAAGGTCTTTAGAGTGAGGCCGCGCAGGAAGGGCTGCAGTGTTAGGATCTTTTGTGGGGACCACTGGGTCCGAGTGCCTAGCTACAAGCAGTTTGTCTTGCATAGGAAGGCCCCAAAACCCCAAACACGTACACGTTGCATGTTGAACATGTTGTTTTGCAAGGCTTGCAGTGTGCTTGGGAGTGTTTGTGCTTGGCTTGGTGTGCTTGATCTTGTTGAAAAGGGCAATGATGAGAGCCCGCCGGCGAGCAGTCCATTAGTGTGTCATCTGCGGATGATGCACAGAGGACTGCCAGTGCCGGGACAAGGGACTGAAGCTGAGCCCTTTGATTTGGAAGCTCCTCGTGGTGGGGAGCCCGGGTCTTCGTCTTCAAGGGTCCCCGAAGGAGTTCCGTCACCGTCAAGTCCTGATTACGAGCCTTCTGAGGTTTCTGAAAGACCCCCCAAGCCTCCAGAGAACCCACCGGAACCACCGGACAGTGGAGAAGAAGGATCTTTTAGGATTCCGTTGTCCTCAACCGCCTTGTATCATCATCGTGCTCAAGGCCATTTCCCTTATGATTCCAACTGTGACTCATGCTGTTCGTCGAAGGGTCGTGTCCCCGCGCGTCGCTTGCGTCGCCGTCTTCAAAAGGAGAATCAGACTGTTGGTCTTGATTTTTTCTTTTTCGGCAAGCTAAGGGTCCTGTTGATGACACACCTGGGTTCAAGGTATACTGTCAGTCTGCCCGCACCGAACCTCGAAGATCCACAATTGCTTGCTAACATCAACAGAGTGCTGCGTGAGATGGGACTGGTAGGCAAAGCCGTGACGTTTCGAATGGATCAAGAAGGATCTATTATTGCTTTGGCAGAAAGACTGAGTAGGTCCCGAAACTGCCCCCACAGCGCAACCATTGTTGATGTGGTTCCAGGATATAGGCCACAAGCCAAAGGCTCGATAGAACGACAAGTTGAATCGGTACGCCAAGGCTTCTGGGCTGTGTGGTTGGACTTGGAGCGCCAAATTGCTCTAAAGAAGTTCCCTGGTCAAGATGCAGAGCTGGGAAAGTACCAGCTTCCCTTAGGGGGTCTCTTGTGGCAAGCCTGTGTGTTCTATGTGTCGAGGTGTTACAATCTGTGGTCCTCGAGCCACGGTGACTCCACCACCAGCATTGATTTGCTGCACGAGGAAATAGTTCACCGAACTAGAACGCTTCCCTTTGGTTGTGTGGTTCAGGCAAAAGTTAGCAAGTCGAAGGCGCATCTTGCTAAATACAGGGGAGCGAAAACAGTCAAGGCTGTTTACTTAGGACCCGTGAACGCACGAGGTGGAGGGATCTTCGCGGCCCCTTTTGGTAGTACGGAGATTGACGTATTTCCGACCGGAAGAATCGTTGATGGAGCGTGCGAGGTGGGAACTGTCGAAGGCCTCGCTGTTGCGCAGTCTTTGGTTCTTGATGGTAAAGACCCAGAACGGCCTGTCTTGTATGAACCCGAAGGTGTTGATGATGGTAATGGTCCTGAAGATGAAGTCATGGAAGGTGGTGTTGGTCCTTTAAATGAAGAAGACGAAGAGATGATTGCTGACGATACCTATGCTCCCGTAAGTGCCCCGGCGGAAGAAGGTGAGGCAGGAATCCTGCCTGATGAGGGGGAAAACATGGAGGACATGGAGATTGATTGGCTTACGAATCACCTCTTGGAGTCTTTGTACCGAGGACCTGACCTTCGAGCTACCTCACAGGAGGTGGCTGACTCGTTTACCTTGAAATTCGGAGGAAGTAGGGTCAAGTGCCAGGTACCACGAAATGCGGTCTCTGAAACATCCGGAGAACAGTTGGATCCGAGCCTTTTGTATGCCTCAATGAAGTTGGAACTAGAGGAACTCGAGTCGTTCGGAGTAGGAAAGGTGATCTCTGAAGATGAGGCCCGAAAGTCCGCACGTGAGAGCGGCAGGCGGGTACTTACCAGTCGGTGGGTCAACACGGTCAAGCGTAAAGGGCTGTACCGGTCACGTCTGGTAGTAAGAGATTATGCTTCGATGGGAGGCACGACCTTGTCTGAAGGTATCTACAGCCCGACTACGAGTTTGGAGGGATTGCGGCTTCTGTTGGCACTGCTTTGTCGAAGAGGTTCAGTGTTGAGCTGTGACGTGAGCGTTGCTTTTATGCATGCAGCAGTGTCAAGGCCTGAGTACGTAGAGCTTCCGAGTAACGTGAGTATTGCGGACTCTAAAATCCCTCAAAAGGCCGGAAACAAGAAAGTGTATCTTCGATTACACAAAGCCATGAACGGACTGAGATCAGCACCGCTTTCTTGGTATAAGGAGCTGAGTTCGCACTTGGAGCAGAGCGGATTCAGTCCAAGCTTGGACCCGACGATATACCGCAGGAAGACCTCCAAGGGTCTGACGCTGGTCCTCTTCTATGTTGACGATTTGTTAATCTACTCTGAGGACCCCTCCGAAGGGAAGAAGGTTTTCGAAGATCTACAGAAACGCTACAAGCTGAAACTAACTGGTGAGCTTCATGAGAATTGTGCGGGAGAAGTATCCTTTCTAGGACGGCGAATCTTCAGGAATAAGGGAGAGAAGCGAGTCTATTTTGGACTGGACGCTAAGTATTTGGATTCCTGCTGTGAAGAGTATGGGATAACCAAACCGAACCCCAAGCTTCCGTCGTTGGAGAAGCGCTACTCTGACCTCATTAAGAAAGGGCAAACCGAAAAGATCAGTCCAGCTGCTCACGAGAAGTACCGTAGGACCTTAGGGCGTCTAGCATGGGCTGCCCTCTCCAGACCAGATTTGCAGTTCTGCTGCGGATTTTTGGGGCGTCATCAGTCGGCCCCTGACGAGGCAGCTGAAACATGCATGAGGGATGTCCTCAAATGGGTCAAAGGTCTTCCGCATAAGGTTCAGGTGTTTCCGTCGACTCGGGAGATCCTGGAAGCCGATGCGGATCCCCAAGCGGTATCGTGCTTTACGGACGCAAGCTGGAGCCTGAATTCTGTTAGTGGTGGTGTGATTACTTGGGAAAGCTGCTGTCTAACGACGTTCAGCAGGAAGCAGTCCACCACAGCCCTTTCGAGCGCCGAGAGTGAGCTTGCGGCGCTTACTGAAATAGCCAGGGAAGGTTTGTACATTGCTCTCTTGACGGAGACCATCTTGGAGGGCATCCCGAAGGACCGGGAAACGGGGTACTACCTTCTTAAGGGGTATTCGGACTCTGAAAGCGCCGTGTCCATTTCCAAAATGGGGACATTGTTGAGGAAAGTCCGCCATATTGAGTTAAGAGCCGCTTTTCTCCAAGAACTTGTCCAGCTGGGAAGATTCACGATTGAGCACATACCAGGTGCTGTCAACCCGGCAGATGCTCTAACAAAAAGCCCAACTAACGACAGTTTGGTCAGTTTGTGCGAGGCTTGTGGCCTCATTCCGGAACCAGTCCCCTGGAAAGAGAAAAATTCCGGAACCAGCGTTTCTGTCACGTTTCAAGAGCCCAATAAACCAGCAGATGAAGTCTGCGAACTGAACGTCCCTGTTTCTTGGCGAGCCGCAGCAGAGAAGGTAGCAAGGAACCAGGCTTCTTATGTTGTGGTTGAGCTCTGCTGTGAAGAAGGAAGCTCTTTGTCAAAAGCTTGCTCGAAGAATCCTCGTATCGCGTATTTTGGAGTGACGAAGCAAGTGGATCTGTTAAGCGAAAACGGATACCAGCTTCTCAAAGAAGTCTTTAGCGTGTTACTTCATGAGGGGGTGAAGGTGTATGCGCACTTGTCTACGCCGTGTTCGGCTGGGTGCGGACTTCGTCATTTGAGATTTCGAAAAGGTGGACAGTCCTACGCCAGGTGGCGGGAGTCTCTTTTGGTCCACAAGAGGTCTTGGCGAAGGATTTGGAACCTTCTCCGTCCGTACGCGAACTGTCCGCGTCTTCTTCTTTCTCACGAGTGGCCAGCTAGGTCTGACTTGTGGAATGAAACGGTCTTTAGGTCTGTAAGTCAACGTCTTGGTCTTGCGAAGGGATGTGTCGTCGATCGCTGTTGCTTCGAGAAGGGTTCTGAAAGAGCCTGGAAGAGATGGTGGTTTTGTAGTAACTCTTCGAATTTCATCAACAGTATGGCTAGGAACCGCTGTGATGAGAGCCACCAACACATCCACCTTCAGCTCCCGGCGTCAGGTGTGTACCCTGAGCTGTTAGGAGAAGAAATGCTGAAGGGTGCGAGACGAGCTATGGAAGAAGACAGGACTTGAGGACGCAACTGTTGCAGGCATGAGGGGGTGTGAAAGTTTTTTTGACTTGGCTCAAGTTTCGGCTCAGACCCCGGTGGGGTGTTGTGGTAGGAAAGCGACTGTGAAACAAGCCCTGAGGCCCAAACCTTGTGTGGGGGAACAGGCTCCATCTTGAATCCCAGTCTCTTTGTAGTGCCATAGCATACCTTACCCACCGGAAAGGGGTTCGCTCCTAACGGGGGTTGACCAACACACCCTCCCACCGTCATCGGGGGAGAAAGGGTGGTCAACACAGCCTCCCGCAATGGGTCGGGAATACACTGTTTGCAAGGGCTGCGGAAATTGGATCTACACAGATCTAATCACGCAGGACCTCAAATGCAAGAAGTGTGCAAAGACCTGGCCCACCAAGGGGAGGCGTCCTACAGTGTGGGAATCTGCCACCTGGAGGAACCCCAAAACCCCTAAGCCCAAAGCCCAGAATGGGGAGGCAATGGGGGGCACGCCCAACCCGCCGTCGCCCAAGCCGCCTCGAACCCCTAAGGTCTACAAGGCCTTGGAAGGGGTATGGGAACAAATTCCCGAAGCTGCCCGTGTTGAACTCTCCAAGGCCGGTTTCAGGGCCCCGTGGAGGACAAGTCGTCGGATGAGGTGGCCCTTCTGGACTTATTGCAGGCCCACATTGGGGATTTGCCAGCGGACGTCCAGACAGCGCTGCACAACAGGAACAAGGTTCCTGATGTTCCGCCAGAAGAAGCCGCCATAACAGCCACGAACGAGCTCAAAGGGGCATCTACCAAGCTGCGGTCCTTAGGCCACCGCAAAATTCGTCTCCAAGCCAAGATTGACGAATCGAAAGCCGCCCTCAAAGCGTTGTATGTTGAAATGCAAAACTTGATGCAAGAGCTGAAAGCGGCTGAGGAAAATATGGAAACCCTTGCCAAGACCTTCCGGGACAAGGTACTTCAGGCGCCCGTTCAAGAAGAAGATGAGGACTTTAATCTGTCCGAGGTGCTTGGAAGCATTGGCCTTTCCCTTGATGAAGCCCAACTCCAAAAGGTGCGGGATGCCCAGGCCCAGCACAAGCTCCAGCGAAGGCAGAAGGCTGCGGAGCAGCTGCTGGCCCATGCCGGTTTCCCGCCTGGATTGGGGGGGAGTCCTCCAGGTATAGGGGGTCAGGCCATTGCAGCCCAGTTGGAAGCCATTGGGGTGACCCTGACCCCAGACCAAAAGAACATGGTAATCACTGGGCAGTGGCCCGGCCCCTCACAAACAATCGACCTCAAGGCGGCGATTGAGCAAGGATGCCCCAACATGGAAATCGAAGACCTTGAGCTAAGACGAGAAGAACTTGAAGTGCAGCTTGAGCGCAAACGACGCAAGCTGGCTACCCAAAGCGCCTCCCCACCCACCTCTGTCAAAGAAGGGGGCAAGGAAAAAGGGGAGCGCAGCCGCTCGCCCAAAACCAGGAGTTAGGAACCCGGCCGGGAGGGCGCCACGTGGGGTTTAATAGTGGGCTATTGGCCTCACCAGGAGCCCGACCTGTGGCCAGGAGGTTCGGAAGCCGAACAAGGTTTTGTCACTGTGTATAAAAAGAAGTGGAAGGCGAAGGGCCAGCTTTCTTGGTCCAAAGACGTTGAGAAGGCTAGCACCCGTGTGCCCTCCGCGAGCCTTTCAGGCAATCCCGAGTCTCAGGCTGTTTTGACCACACCATCCAAGCCGGGGACGGAGGACGATTTTGACCCTTTCCCCCTTTCTAGGGGGGTTTTTACAAACAATATCTCACCTGAGTGGAGGGAGTTCGGTCCTTCCCCGATCAATCTCTACAACCGGTTTTCAGCCCTGGCGGAAGACGAAAATCCCAACGATGAATTCACCTCCCTCCTCCTCAAGGCCAAAGACCAGTCACTTGCTGCATTTGAGGAGGAATTGGTGGAACTGGTGGACAAAATGCCGATCCGCCAAGGGTCTCTTGAGGAATGGGCGGCCAACCATGCATTGCATCAACTGGCCACTCACAGAAACGAACCTAGTGTTTGTTTGGAGGCAATTGCAGATGCAAAAAGGCAGCCCAAAGACGAACCAGCAAAATTTGAAATCACAGTTGCCAATGTCACAAGATGGAGAGCTGAGATCAAAACGTGGCTCCTAGATAGGCGACCACAGGGGGTGTGTCTCCAGGAAACCCACCTCACAGCCAAAGAACAGCAACTTGCCATCCATCAGTTGGACCAGGCCGGGTACGCTGCCTGGACCCTACCGGCCCACCCAACTGAGGGGGGCAAAAACTCTGGAGGCGTCATTATTGCGGTTGAAAAACATCGAAATTTCCGATTCCTGAGATCCTTTGGTGTTGAAGGTAAAGGGTATGTGGCTGTGGTAGGTAGAACCGGGAAGAGGGACATTGTTTTTATTTCCATCTACCTTGAAACCAGTGTAGGCCTCACTGGAGGACACAACCCCACCATTGTCGGTGATCTTATTGCCTTCATTAAAGGCCTCACCATTGAATGGTTTGTAGCGGGGGATTTCAACCTCCCACCACAAGACATACTCGAAACCTCGATTGAGTCCCTCCTGCGCGGGAAAGTGCTAGCTACTAACGAGCCCACCATCATGGGTGGCAATGAAATCGACTTTGCCATAGCTAGCCACACCGTCTCAAATGGGCTTGAAATCAAAACTGATTGGGACGTTCCCTTCAGGCCCCATTGCGCCATTCGGTACACACTCAATGTGGGGGTTTTCCGCGTCTGTACCCTACAAGCCAGGCCCTTCCGGAGACCTGTTGACGATGAACAGGCACCGTTCCAAGGACAATTCACCTCGGTTTATCCCAGCCTCCTCCTAGAGCCGAGGGCGGATGACGCCATTACAGCTGGGTTTGCCGGTTTTACTCAGCGTGTTGAGGCGAGCCTCTATCCCTCGGACATCAGAGGCAGGGGTTGCCAGGTTGAAACCCATATTGGACCACTAGCCCCGCCTAAACCCACAGGTTTCGTCTGGGCTGGTGGGAAGTCCAAATTCTGGGGTAGACTTATGGTCTGGCACCGGCAAGGCCTCCGCATTGGTCTAAGTCCCAAGCTTCAGCAGGTGGTCCAATCCCACCTTTCCCAACTCCTTCTCAATTGGGAGGAATGCGATGCATTCAGGTGCCAGACAGCGGTTAACCTCATCCAAGAGCACTTTGGAAAAGAAGGGCCCAAAGCCAAAGAGGTCAGACAAATCATCGAAACACAACGAAAACTTCACCTGAGGAAAGCACATCAGGAACAAGCCAAAAAGTACGAGGCCTGGCTCCAAGGTGATGGGAAAAACCATCTGCGCCACCTTTACCGGGCACTCAAGACTGAGGAAAACACCACTACTCGCCCATTTGCGAACCTTGCGGTGGAGGTTAAGCCTCACGCCAGAAGGGCATGGTGGGCTGACATGTGGGCCCCAAGTGGGTTGAGCGGCACTCATGGCACCGACCCTCGCTTGGCCCTGCAGAACCAAGCGAGGAAACAAGCAGCCAACCTCTCGCCCATTTCGGTGGAGGAATGGAATTCCCTCCTAAAAAAGGTCCCAAACAAAGCCCCAGGCCCAGATGGGTGGTGCTATGAAATGCTCCGAGCATTACCTCATGAAGCCATTCTTGAATTGGCTAGCATGGTGCGCCAATGGGAAATCGAAGCCCAGTTTCCCCAGCACTGTGATATCACACAGTATGCCATGCTCCCCAAAAATGAAACATCCGAACGGCCTATTGGGTTAACCCATGTCCTCCACAGGGTATTTTGCAAGGCGAGATGGCACCTTATCACAGAGTGGGAGAACAGTTACAACCCTACCTCTCCCTGGAATCAGGCAAAGGCAGGGAACAGTTCCCTTGACACGGCCCTTCGCCGCCTAATCAGGGCTGAAACAAACAAAAGAGAGAAGCGTCACACCATTACACTTCTCCTTGATCTAACATCCTTCTATGAGACTGTCCCACATTGGCAGCTCCTAGCCCAGGGTGTCCGACACTCCTTTCCCCCGCTTCTACTTGAAAGAGCGTTAAGCCTTTACTCAGGCAGCCGATACATAGAAGCGCAGGGGAGTCTGTCTCGCCCCATCCGAGCTACAAGAGGTCTCATAGCAGGTTGCCCTCTCGCCCCTGCTCTTTCCAGAGTTGTGCTCCACGATCCGATCTCGAAGATGCACTCTGCCTCCCCTGTACACCACATCGATTTGTGGGTGGACGATTGCTCAGCAGATTTTGTCGATTCTCATGCGCCGACAGTCGCTGCTCAAGCCATCAAGTGTTACAGGGAGCTTAAAGCTGACCTCGAGAATCAGGGCCTGATGGTCAGCACCACCAAAACGGCTTTCATCTGCTCAAACAAGGCCTCTGCCAGAGAGCTGCAATCCTTGCTTGAAGAACATGAACCCCCCATCAAAACCTTAGGCAAGGACCTTGGTCTGGATTATGCTGCGGGGCAGAGGAGGCGAATCACAGTGGCCAAAGGCAGGCACGCTAAAGGAGGGCAGCGAGCCAGAAAATTAACCAAGCTGCAAGTCAAAAGCACTAGCATCAGAGTTAGACTCTTCAACGGTTCCATCCGGTCCTCTGCCTTGTATGGGCATGAAGGGGTTGGGGTAGCGCCTAAACGGCGCAAATGGTTCAGAAGTTTGCTGGCTGCAGCCTTGGGCAGACCCACGCTTGCCAGCACTGACTCAGCCCTTGAGTTCCACTCGAACAAAGTTGTAGATCCAGCCTACACCATCTTGTCGCAGCATTTCAAGGCGATACGGAGGCTTCTTCTCAGCTGGCCCGACAGGGACATTGGCAGATTGCACCAGAGCTGGAACAAACTCGGGCAATGGCTGAGCGAAGCTGAACATCCCTGGAAAAGGGCGGCTGGACCGCTTGGAGCCGCCTGGTGCTACCTTCAAGAGTTGGGATGGGAGGCCATCAGCCTCAGTAAGTGGCGTGTTGAGGGCGACATTCTTGACATCCGTCAGGGACCTGACTTCCATCGACTTCTTTTCCAGCTAAAACATCTAATTGACACCAGGCGGCACCGCCGCATTGCTCAATCAGATGGTGGCAATGGATTAGAGACAGGACCGGACTGGACAGCCCCCAGAAGGCTCCTCAAACAAGCCAACAAGCAAGAAAAGGCAGCGCTCCAAGCGTTGTGGCAAGGCGCCGTCAAGGCGTCTCCAACAGCCACGTGTTCCCTGTGCAACCTTCCTGCCACCAAGAAGCATGTACTCTGGGAATGCAAATGGTGGAAAAAGCATGGTGAACAACCGCCTAGATGGTGGGAAGATTACCCGGAGCATCAATCCACTGATTGTCTGTGGAATTTTGGGCTCATGCCCAACCTTCCCAGGGAAATGCCCTCCGGAGATTCCATTCTGGAAGTCCCAGGAGTCCTACGCAATCCTGACCAAATCCCTGAAGGCGCTTTCGCGGCCACGGACGCCAGTGGTGGCCCCACCACTGACCATCGGCTTCAAACCGTGGTGTGGGGGTTGATAGTCTATGAATGGTGTGGGGACACGCCCAAGCGAATTGGGTCCATTGCTGGTCTCCTTGGTAATGAGCAGTCAGTGTACCGAGGGGAGGCTAAAGCCATCCAACAAGCGGCCCTTCTCCTTCCAGAAGGGACCGACGTCACCAGTGATTGCAAAGGGGCCGTTGCGCGTGCCAGGAGGGGCCCCGCGGGGGGAGGAGCACACCAAGACATTTTTGGTACTGCGCCCACCCATGAGCTTCGCCTTACATGGGTCCCATCCCATTTGGGATGTGAGGAATTAATTCAAGGCAAAAATGGGGGAAGGCCAAGAATGGCGGCGCAACATCAACGCTGAGGTTGATGCATTGGTGTCCAGACATGCCAAAGCCCTCTACAGCACTGAGCGTGCAGAAAGGCTGCAGCAACAGGACAAACTGGCTACCGATGTGGCCAGCTTTTTAGGACGCCGGCTCCTCTCCTTGCTTGAGGGAGGCAAGAAGGATGGCCCGCAAGTTGTTTTCCCTAAGGATCAACCCCAGGAAGAACCGGCCAACCCTCCCTCCAGTAGCTCCTCCTCAAACCAATCCACCTTATCCAAAAACCGGTGGAAGAAACGCCGGAAAATTGCGAGGGGTGACCAAGCCACCACAGGCCTGGATTCCCCCACCGTGAATCCGGCGGATGGCATTCCAGGGGGTGACGCTACCACAGCACGACCTGAAGAAACAGGGAGCCTTAACAAAAAACAAATTTTGACAGGCTTGGTGCAAGGCACCCTGGACGTTAAAGGTCACACCTTTGTCATCACCCGGAACACCGTTAACAATTTGCAAATCAAATGTGAAAATTGCGGTTTGTGGATTCAACAAGTTGACACCAAAGACACATTCAACCGAAAGACCCATAACCACTGCAAGGGTCATCCGGACAGCGTTCCCTCCCCAACATGGACGTGGCACGCATCCCACGTTATGGTGAATGAAGGGAACCGCTGGGTGTGCACAAAATGCAGTAGCACTCAAAGTGTTGGGGGGTTAACCCATGGCCCCCTTGAAAGACCCTGCCAACACGCCCCGAATAAGAGGCCCCCAACGAATGCCCTTAAACTCAGTAAAGCAGCCCAGGGTACGCCGTCGGTCGCCACCTTCTTTGGGGCCCCAAGAAATGGATAGTGATTTTCGGGTCTGAACAATGTGAAATCTGCATTTTGTAGTGTCTTGTGTTAAACTAACCTTCAGTACCTTTGCACCTGCCTGATTTCCACTTGCCTGCCCTCACCTCCCGTATGGAATAAAATCCCCACACTGCAGCCGCTGGTCTCAAACACAGGTAGCAGCCGTAGGGCAGTTTAGCTACCTCAGAACCCGTAGATATGGGATGGGGCCAGGGCAAAGGAAAGGGGGCGCAGCCTCCTCAAGGCAAAGGCAAAGGTAAAGGGGGGGGGAGCCAACCTCCCGGGGCAGGCAAAGGGGGCCATCCTCCTGGAGGTAAAGGCGAGATCCCCTTCAAGCGGCCTTCCAAGAAGGACAGAGATCGCCTTAAGCAGCTGGGTTTGTGGCCACCTCCCAAGGGGCAAGGCAAGAACGCCCGAGCAGGCCCACACCCGGCAGAGGAAAGGGGTCACGCCAGACCACCCACACCTCCCCCCGTCAGACGGGGGGCTCCAGCAGCAAGAAGTCCCTCAACGAGCCGCAGCCGCACACCGCGCCAAGAGGAGACTGATGCAGAAGCACCAGCTGCGGAGTCCCCCTCGCAATCGTCGAACTCAACAGAGCTTCGACGAGCCTCACCCGACCAACCGCGGCACCAACCCGAGCCGAGCCCAACCCCACCTGCCGAGGGGGGAGCCTCGGCCCAACCTTGTGGTTGGATTGCTTCCCAACCTTCAAGGGTTCCAGCCTCCTGGGCATAGGGGGAACGCGAGCAGTGTACACCTCACCTACCTCAGAAGGCAAGGTGTGGAAGGTTGCTCTCAAAGCAAATCCCAGCCACCATGGGATTGAGCAAACCATTGGGCAACGGCTCCCAGGTTTATGTGCCACGCAAACCAGAATGGTGGGGACGGGGCAGCTCACCATCCGTGACTTTAAGACCCTGGAGATTGAGGTCTTGGAGGTTGAGCGTCTTACGCTGTTGCCTGACCAGCCCTCCAACCTCCAGGTCTTGCACATGTTCATGGTCCTCACAGCCCTTGTGGGTGCTGGCATTTGGGTCAGGGACCTGAACAGAAAGAATTGGGGGGTTCGTCCCCCCAATCCACACGGGCCCGATCAAGGGCCCGCGGAAATCGTGGCCCTTGATTGTGGGGGTTGGGCATTCCAAGATGCCCCGCTTGGGTTTCCCCAACGCGTTCGCATTGCCTCATGGTGGGGGTGGATCGAAGCCACCACCCCCGAGGTAGCGGCGTGGGCCCGCGGCGTCGTCCGTACGGACCATTCGAGCCCACGGCGACTCGCCATCGCCTTCAGGCAGCGCCTCCTTGCCATGGATGGGGGGAAGGAGGTTCTTGGGACTTTGGTCCGTCAAGGGGTCATCATCCCTAGTCCCTCGCTGAACCTGTGCCTCCCGATGACGGTCAATGGAGTCAACAGTAGCGGGGACTGGTGCTTCGCCTCAATTGAAGACCTTGAGGTGTAAGCCCGCCGGGAAGGGGGGCAAAACCCACCTGTGCACACCACCTGCGGGGGCCCACGCAGCACCCACCGCTACACCTACCCACCCGAAAAGGGGGGAGCAGGGCACCTCTTGCAGGGCCTGTACTTGTACAGTCCTGTGTAGTCCAGCTTACCTCCAAAGAGAGGAGCAGCTTTCTTTAGGCCCTCGTCCACTCTGCAGTGGTGTTCGCACAACTTCCCGGCAGGGATGCCCCAAGCCAACCCGGAATGGCCTCTGCCTGTTTTCACTCACCCACCTTGGGGAGTATGGGCCTACACGGCAACCACCACCACACTTACCCACCCTTTAGGGGGGAACAAGCAGGGCACCTCTTGAAGGGCTCGTAGGGCAACGGCCCAAAGAGGTCTTGAGCAAACCCTCCAAAGTGAGGAGTAAGTGTGGTAGAAGTTTTAGGCTCCTCCACCAAAGGTGGAAAACCCAAGGACGGTTTTAGGAATTGCCGCTTCGGCGGCCGCGCCTCGCGCTCCGAGAAGAAAGTTTTTGACTTCCTTGTGAGTGCCTTTACAGTTGACAGGATGTCTTGCACGTGTGACATGAACCACGAGTTTGCATTGCATGAGTTGAGAGCTGTGCTTGAACCGTTTGTTTGGTGTTAGCAGAAGCAGGCATGGACATAGCATGTTTGGAGCTTGGCTTGAAAGTGTTTCTTGCTTTGAGCTTGACGTGAGATGTTTGGAGTGTGCATGATGAGCAGAGAAGCACTCGAGATGCTTTAGGAGCATCCTTGAAGAAGTGCGTGTTGCTGTGAGTTCGCTCTTTAAACCTTGACCGCCGACCCTCGCTTCGCTCGTGTCGTCGTACTGAGGTTCGAGCAGAGTGGCTGTGCACTTGTATGCTTGTTTTGCTGAAGCACTGAAGTCCTGAGAAGCACTAGGACGTTTGCATGTGTTCCTCCTTTGTTTAACAAAGTTGAGATGGAATTCACGAAAGTGAAGCTGCGCTGACTCTGCGAGAGACTTGCCGAACACCTCTGGTGTTTTGGCTCAAGCGTGGAGTGAAAAAGAGCTCTGCGTTTTTCACACTACCTGGACGTATTCTTGGCCCTGTTTCTTGCAGGCCACCACTGCGTTGGCTACCTTCCGGAGTCGCGGGTCCGCCGTGAAGGGGCCACTAGCATCTGTGCCATAAACAAGCTCTGGGTCACTGAGGGGCTCTTTGTCAGCCATATGCCTAGAAAGATAGGATTGTCTTCCTGAGGAGGTGGTACCTGCCGTTCAGGTTTGGGCGGGAGGCCCCTGGTCCACAGCGATCTCGGGCCTTGGGCCCTGCCTTCTTGGAACCATGTTGGCAGTTCCCAGTTCTGGGCTTCCCACCAAGCACAATCCAAGAGCACATGCTCCCAGTCCGCTTCCTGGTGGCACCGGGGGCACACTTTGACAGCAGAGTTCTGGCTGCACACCAGGGCACCCTGCCAAACACACCTCAGGGCAGCTGCTTTCGTGGTTCGCCCTTCTTTCTTAAAACCCCCCAACAGTTTCCTCCCTACTGTCCAGTCGATTCCCCCCTTTAGCTCAGGAGCAGCGAGGCCGGTGGCGATGCGGCGGTCTACTTCTTCCTGATAAGTTTGCTGGAGGAGGTCGAGGACACGACACTCCTGCTGTGGGGTGTGCATGGTGCCTGGTGCCCTGGGTGTCCAGCCACTCATCACTGTCTCTAGGCTCAGGTCAAGCAGGTATGCAACTGTAGCTGCAAGAGGCCCTTAACCATTTGCCACCGGCTGCTGGCTTCTTCCAGCTTTTGGACTGTAAGGCCCCAGGTTCTTTCCAGCAGGTCTTCCTTGCCGGCCCACCTCTTCTTGAGCTGGAACCACCGGGTCAGGCGTGCTTGCAGGTGTCAACGCAATCAAGGTGCACAGGCCCTTGCATGTGCCCGCACACAGGCTTAAGGTGCACAGAAATTCACTTGTCAGGCGTCCCAGGTTCAGCAGATGCCGCAGGTCCTCAGTCCCTATTGCAGCACAGACCGTCGTGGGTCTTGTGCCAGGTGTCCCAGGTTTAGCAGATGCCGCAGAATCAGCACCCAGTGTATAAGGTCTTCCTGCAGGAAAAGCAGGCTCGCAAGAGCAACGAGGCCACCTCCAGGCCCTGCAAAAAGCGCATTGGCTCCAACATAGGGAGAGGCCACATCACCACCCAACAGGAATGGTTCCAGGAGCTGGTCCGGACCAAACCTGTGCATGCGTGGGAATGGGAAGGTCTCAACCTCCGGTGTGCTCAGTGTCAACTTAAACTCCTGCACAAAGAACCGCAAAACCTTGGAAGCACTGGCAGCGCACCAATGCACACCAAGGCAGAGTGACGGTTGAAGGGGTACATGTTACACATGTTTTAAAACTGCTCGGGAACAGACAACTGTGGGTCTGCGAAGGTTGTGGTGGACAGTTGTCCTTGAAGACGAAAAATGTTTCGCAAAAACTTTCAGTTGCATGCAGTTTTAAAAAGGACCCCAGGTGCAAGGCGCAGTTCAAGCCCGAGCCAACCAATGCCATCCGCAGCCTCTTTCAGCAGGTGCAAGCGACAGCCCAAGTTGCAGCAAGCAGACCCCCCTGTGCAAAATCCCTGAAGGCACCGGCAGCTGAAGCAACCTGGGAGGTTGCATCCTCCCAGTGAGGATAAAGTGAAGGTCATCCTCGCTACCAGAGAAGCCACTCCCCTCTAACAGCCTGCGCCAGGTGCACCA